TTGTTTCTTTGATTTTCAGAGGTCCTTCTGCTTTGTTATTGTAGGGAAGTAACAAAAATTACATCTGAAATATTTCCAGTTTTTCTGCTAACCCAAAAATAAAATTGCAGCAACGACAACCTAAAGTTTCCATTATAAATCATTTGAAAATTGCTATGGACTTGAAGCATAATTTTGTTAGTGTGGTGTTACTGATGTCTCTAAAATGTTTAAGGTAGAAATTTCTATTGCAAGACTAAGGTTACCTCCCGTATGTAGTACAATCACCCTAAATTGCTCCGTAATATTAATGCTAAGACAGGAACTACAGGTGACATAGGCATGCCTTTGTTTTCACATTGCTATTTCTCCCTAAAGCGATGCTCCCTTTTTAGTCACTGAAAAGGAAGGCCTGTTAAAAATGTCCTTATTATTTGTAATAACTTTTAGAAAAATTCGTATGTTGTTTACATCAACTTGGATTTCCACACAGGAAGCAGGATAAGGCATCCTTGGGGCCTATTGTCTTCAGAGCATTACATGATATCCCATCGCCTCTGCAAGTCAGTTCCTCCTTTTCTGCTTGTGCTTCCTCCATTTTTTAAAAATCATTTGGCTACACAGAGCTGCCTCATGTCATTCTTTGCATACATCATCTCTGTTTTTTCTCTTTTCCTGCACAATGGCCCAGCTTTCCAGCTGTCCCGAGTGCGATCCTTTGCTAAAATGGGGATTGAATGAAGGTGGAGCACAAATTATCTGGAAGCAAAGGAAAACCAGGCCTTTGAAAAGGACCCAGAAAGGCACGAGTAATGAACCAGAGTGGCCTCGATGAATTGCTGGAGAGGGAATTCTCAGTCTTGACGCAAAAGGAGCACACACATGGATACCAAGGAAAAGCTAGCGAGGGAAGCTCAGTGTGAAGCCTGGCTTGTGGGCTGGTCAGGATAGAGGGTTAAAGCCAGTAGCCCTCCAGACAGGAGAAGAAACAAATGTATTTTATGAGTAACGGTAAAGCATTCAAACACACCGTGTTGGAGCACAAGGTACTTTGAGGAGTTGACATCCCTTCATAATTCATGTTCATTGTTCCTCTAAGTAAAATATGTGTCTCCCTGTAGTTATTCTGTTAGGAACTGTACTTTAAAGGCAAGAGGACATTTTTGATAATGCACATCTTAAACTTTTCATTAAACTACCAAATTTAAATTCTACCTTTTTGTGCACTCTGACATTTTTGTCTGGCATTTTCATTAATTTTGCGACATACATAAATGTAGCTGAAATGTTAACTGATCAATACTGTGTCTCTCTCATGTAGCACTAGCACTCCGCTCCCCAAGGACCACACAGCAGAACAGAAATTAAATGTGTAAAATATCAAATGTTAATGTTAAACACAGCGGCACTTACTGTATAATGACAGAAAAGGCTAAAACAATTCCAAATGGACAGATGGTACCACAAATTATCTACAATCACATTTAAAGATTAAAGTTTGTCCTGTAAAATAATTCTTTGACGCACAGTGAAGTGTGTCCTTTTACTGATAGCTCAGTTGTCCAATTATTTTTGTGCTCATTACAGTGAGAAATGACAGTACTGGAAAGAGAGAATGCGCACTCTTTTTTTCACCCCATGTTGCACCCACTGACATCCATAAGAACACAAATGTCTGGTCAAGAGCCTGATGAAAATTAGGCCCAGTGTATGAGACATTTCCACGTCTGCAGTAGATGTTTCCAAAAGACAAGCCGGGCCTTCTGCGCCACATCCGTCTGTGTTCGCTCTCAAGCATACAATATTCATAGTAAAATTTAAAAACCTAATTCACAGCACAAAAACAAGGACAGTCCCAGGAACGTGTTTGCTTATATTTTCCCCACCACCTTCTAGGCCGATTTCAGCTCCTAGTATCAGCAGCTGGCTTTGAAGCTTCCCCACAGCAAACAGGCACAGCGCTAAAGAGGCCAGAGCAGCTCTAACCCCGCGCTTCTCATCCTCTGCACTTCACTTGACATTAGGACAAAAAGTTATTGTTTTTCCATTTTGATTTCATTATTCTACTTTTATTTTGGGTAGTAAATTAGAAAAGAAGAATAAAACAGAGTAGAAAAAGGGCACTTAAAAGTTATAAAGTTTACTGATCTGGGCCTAAAACCAAGCCACATAATGGTACAAATGCACATGCTCCACGAGGCAGCTGCATTTATGAAAAAGTGGGCCAAGTGGAACCAATATTATAATAATAGACTCATGATCCAGCCACAGGGAATGATGGGAACAATATGTTTGTAACAATGGGGTGCTGCTCACACTCTTCTCCTAATGGAAAGCAGTTCTTTTCAAAAAACTGTGCTAAAAAGGCTCTGGTTATGCAATGATATCTTTGAAACATTTCATTTTTAAGTACTCACATCATTAAATGTCTATAAGGTAAATAAAATCCTACAAAAGTTTTTTTTTTGAATTGTTGTAACACTAAGATTACACAGTACATTTTTAAAATTTCTCTTAGAAAGAAAATAATATCTGCTGTGTGAATTTGACCAATATATTTAACCTTTCTGTGCCTCTGTTTTTTCTTCTGTCTATTGGAAAATAATAGTATCTAACTCATAATAAGGAAATATTAAATTGATTAATACATAACAAGCACTTTCATGTACTAGTGCTTGAAAAACAGTCCCCTGGCACACAAATGCTTAATAAACATTAGTTGTTACTATTATATAAGAATCTTTTTGCATCAGAATTAAATCTGAGGTTAAAATAGATGATTGATAGATTATAAAATAGTTTAGAATATAAAATGGAAGGTCTAGGGAAAATTGCTACAACACCATGAAGCTATGTCTTTCATCATTTAAAAAGTAGCTTTATTAGAGCAAACCCTTATTTATCTGGCATCACTATATAAAGAGTTTCTCCACATAAGAAACATTTTCATACTGGTTCATTGGTTGGTCGATTGATTTAGACAGCCATTTTATACTAGGAGCCTACTAAATGCGAGATACTCCATAGGGGATGGTGGAGTACAGGTGCAACAGGCAGGGTGCCCATTTTCATGGAACTCTCAGTTCAGATCTTGATAAGTGAAGTTTGGTTTTGTTATTTGTTGTTTTCATCACAATTCAGCAGAATGTAATTCAGCGCTTTTTATTTTCTTAAAATGGAACAGTTAATATTATCTTTTCTTCTCAAAAGTACTCTTACTGTGTGTTCTCATATTAGTTTGGCGTTTTTCTCATCATCGTCAGCAGTCCCTTTTCCTACCTTTACTGTGCCCTCCCTCCCATTTTTGCAAGCATCTTGCATTCAGCGTGCTCCACAAGCTGACCACCAGCTAAAAGAGATACTACTTTTCTTATGCAGTGAACTTTGACCCTCCTACAGTGAAATCATTCAAGTATTATCATGTACATATACCTAAGTTTCTCAAAATTTTGGTGTCTGACTTTTTTTAATCAGAAAGAAGTTTTGAACAAAGTCTGCCATCTTGAATTCACTGCACATGAGTGACATCTAGAAGCCAGATGAATTTTTCTGATGACTTACAAAACACATTGTAAAGCTAAAGTGTTAAAAAGGAATGTTCCTCAATAAATTATATAATTACATAGATTTCTCTATTTTCCAATTTTGTAAATAGCTATGCGGGAATGACTTTGGAAGGAGCGAATCACAGATAGCAGCATAATATTTTGTTAGAATATTGTGTCTTTGATAAGATGCCATGGAACTTGCACATAATAGCATAAAATATGCAAAGAAACTCAATGTCATTTTTCCTCATTTATGTCAAAGTGCCTCTATGATAGTGAAAAATCACAATTAAGTTTGCTTAACAGTAACCCCGCCTTATGTACTTTATATGTGAAAGAACTAAATAAAAGAATATTGAAAGAGCAGTTTCCTTTCTAAAACTTAACGATGATGACAATCTCTTTCTTTAGAAGACAACAACATGTCTATGGGAAGCCGGCTGCCTAACTTTCTGGTAACTTACAACATAAAGGGACATACACACTCTTTGTTCCATGTGCTCAGACATTAATGAAAGTCCCATACAAGGCCTGAAAGGAGGACAGAGCTCAAAGTACTAAACAGATGTGCACACACTCATTTGAATGGTAATACTAAAATGTTGATTTGTTACTATAATGAAGGCTCTTCATGTAAACCCCCTAATAAAGTCATATTCTGCTAAACTGGCAACTATAAGGAAGCATAAGGTCTTCATATTCTAACAAATATGACAATAAAATAAAGGATTTCAAAAGAAAAACTTCACTTAAACTTCAAACTGAAATCCTGAACAAGCAAAAATAATATGAAAGCAGAAAATTCCTGCTAAAGCGCAGAGGAAAGAATGCTTTTGGATTTTCTAGTTTTGCAAGTTGGTCTCCTCAGCAGTTTTTAAATAACCAAAGTAAAAGGCTACAAGATGAACATTGTTAGAAGACTATTTGGATCTATCAAATTCTCACTGGTGCCTTTGTGAAGACTGGAAATCTCAGAAATAATAAAATGCCGCTTACATAGGTCACATCCACTTCCAATTGATCCACATATTAAAGTATTACCATCTAGCATTCTACTGTCAATCATTTCATATTTTGAAAAAATATATATCAATAGAATGAATACAATTAAAATGAGCATGGTCAAAATTATATTAATGTTTTTAACACCAAGGACTTTTCTTGGCTCTGCTATTAGGATTTTGGATTATGCAATATATAAAATTTTACTTTTTAGCTGTCATGGAGAAAATTATACATTGGCAGTGGAGATGTCTTGTGTTCCGGAAGTCTGCGGGGGGAGGGGGGTATTCTTGGACTCAGACCTTGAACAATCCATCAGGTTCTGCCCACGGCAAATCTGTCCAGTCAAGTCTTAAAATAGGAGTTTTAAAATGGCCACATCAACATAGCTGTTACTATAGCCACAGAAACATGCAGCTATGATTACTGAATTTAATGAATAACAATGTAAGTAATACAGTATGATCATACCACAAAAGCAGCAAGGCTCCTTGGGGGTGAGTCCCAATCAAAGCAACTATTAACGTAGTATGCAGCATTTATAAGCACCATGACACAGCGCTTCGTTCTGATAAAGTTTCTTAGTAGCAGCTGTAATGAAGATGAGATATTATTAGAAATTACAGGACTAAAAACCATCAGATATATTGCAAAGTCTTCAAGCTTACTGTGATTTTCAAAGGATTCAGAAAGTTAATAAAGTTGTAAGAATATACCAAGCAGTTTGGCTCATGAGTTAAAGGAAAAAAAGTATCTCTGGAGGAAGTGGGAGAGACTGAATTATAAGAGCAATTTCTTAGCTAAATATATTTCTTTAAATAATATTATCAGGTAGGATGGACTACCTTTGTTCAAAAGAAAAAAAAAAATCTCCAAAGGATTCAAAACATTTTTTGCTACTTACTGCAGACCTTAAATACATTGTTAAGCTTTTAAATCTTGTTGAGATTTAAAGATTCTTTAAGTGCTTTAATTTCAGGCTATTTCAAAGTGAAATGGATAACTTGGAATTTTTTATTTAGGGTCTTAGAGAAAAATCCTGCCAAATATTACTTTATTATAGAAAACATTTTTCCCCCTACCATTTTAGTAGGATTCTCCCTTTCTTACTATCATATTCTCATTTTTCTCTCTTTCCCTCCCTCTCTTCTATCTCTATCTTTCTCTTTTCTACAATATATTTAACCTATATTTTCATATAATTTTGGAGTTAGGGAAAATTTTATGGCAACCAAGTGCTTTACAAAATGTTTTACTAAAAAAGATATATAAGAATTGACATAATTAAAATTTTAAATTAAGGCATGACTATAATTATAAAAAGAACAGCCCATATACTAGATGTTGTTCAAAAATTTATCTACAGCTATGTTAATAATTAGAATAATATGTAGGCAGGTTAATATTTTGTTACTTCCAGATATACTTCAATGCTGATCTGGTATTTCAAAGTAGCAATGTAAAGTTTACTGAGGCCATCTGGAAAAATATATATGTGTAAATATAGATGCAAGTACATGCATACCAGCTTTAATAAGTTATTCAAATTCACATTCCTTTCAGTCAAATTTAAGAGTCTCCTTACTTGTTTTCCTTCTGGGCCCCTGATCACTTACTTTAAGAGCTGCTTTTATAAATTTTATCTATAATTATGGAAAAATATAACCTGTATTTCTATTTAGACAGATATTGAATTTGTCTCATATATTGTCTTTAAACAACCTGAAATCCCACTGTTTATGGTGACTGATTTGATTAAAAATAAAATTTTTTTAGTCTTCTAATAGCACAAGAAATTATTAAATATTTTAACACAAATAAGTTCTGCAAACTTTATAGACATATCAAATTCATTTTATTTTAGCTGTGTTAGTTAAAAGTAAACATTTTTAAAGGGGTTGCTTAGTACTCTTTCTTAAATTGATTCAAACCTGATTTAAAACTATAAGTCTAATTACAAGCTATCAAGCCTAATTTAAAATTTCTTCATGACAGAAAAATCAGAGTCCCTGATTTTCTATTTTCTTAGCTGAAAATGTCAATAAAAGTTCACTTCAAAAAGATCATAGTCAAAATCTAATTAAGAAGGTTTCCCTTAAAAGATGGAGCCCCCTCTCCTGTGGATTAGAGGGAAGAGCTTTATGCTGGGCTCGCTTTACACACACCTGCGTCGTACCTGTGGGTGGTCTGGACATATATATGAACCTTAGCTTTTGGTGTTCTCATTTACACATTCCATGGCAATCAAATTGTATTTTATGTTCAAAATGATCATTTTTTTTGCTAATGCATGAATACATATCCATTCTATGCAGTGTCTACAGTATCCCCTTTCCTTTTTGACCACCCCCATCCCACTTATTAGTTTGGTATTGCCCTTGTTTGATCATTTAAGGAAAGGAAGGGAAGAGAGAAAAAGAAGGGGAAAAAAGAAAGTCATTTCACATAAGTAGATGTTAAAAAATTGTATAGCCTTCCCCACCTCCATACCTCAAAAGTTTATTTGAATTTAGTTAGATGTTTTACAGATTAATCAGGTCTTCCCAGAGGGATTAATCTTTCCTTGCTTTTTACCTGTTTAGAGAGTCTGTTTTCCTCTTCAATGTACTTCTGTTCTTTGGGTATTAATGTTCGTAAGCTGGCTTTCACCTATACATCAACATAATGTGTCTGTTATGGATTAATATAGTACAAATGTTTACAAGTTTTTCATGCAGTTCAATTTGCAATAGTTTCTAAAGTTTCAAAGGCCTGGCTGCTGTGCTCATAAAATATAAATGTATACAGTGGCACATGCATGCACATTGCTTACGCAGGCAGGCAGCGGCCCCAGTTCAGCCGTAGCAGCAGCCGCCAACATAACAGAAAGTGTGGGTGTGCCAGGCAGTGGCAGAAGCGTATTCTCCAGGATACATCAAGGTTTAGAGAAAATGAGGAATGACAGAAATTCTCTACAAATCAGGAACAAAAGCTTTCATGAAACTGAACTCTTTAGCAGTACAAAAAAGCCAAAGTTAAGACTTACAGCATTAAAAATCACATCTATTTCAAGATAGATGACCCCCTTTGTTGGCCCTGTCAGCTGCTTGTTTTTCAAGACGTAGGCTTTCTGTTCACCATTTTGAATCTGCGGGAAAAGGACATGACAGCCGTCTGTCTCACGGTCTCCACTGAATACACTCCCTCGGTGACCTTTGACCCCCAGCTGCTGAAACTGACAGAGAACCCAAAACAACTGTGGCAATTCTGACAAGTACCTGTTCATTACCAGGATCAAGTCTGTCAGGAAAAATTAACTATCATGGGATTCAACATGGCCGTGAATTGAGTATGTTAAAATTTTTAGTGTTCTTATTACAGACCTTGGTTGAGAAATGACAGATATAGAGCTGACGGGTTTTTTTTTTTCTCCTTGAGCAAAAGCAACACAGAGCTGTGTGTCAGGTGCATAAAACTTACAGACAGCAATGGTATAGCAACTTTGCCCAGAAAGTCAGCGCTTCGATCCCGATCTTCATCATAAACTGTCACTTCAAGAACTGAATGGATATCTTTAATGTTGCTGCATAATAAACATATAAAGGAAAAAAGACTTCATCAGTGGAGAACAAGAATAAAAATGCTTTTGAAAATTTAGATAGCTCCAGCTGATTCTGTGTGTATATGTTTTTATGTATGCTATTTGCATACACACATATACAAGGTAGTTTGGTATGTGATAGAATTTCCCACAATGCACCTTAGTAGACTACAATGATGGTTCTATTATCTGGAATTTTGAGCACCAACATAATTTCAAGTTCTAATTCTTTAATGAAATATAATTTTCCACCTGTATGGCCACAGAATAAATTATTAAAAAGACAACAACAAACCACCAGTATGTGACACTGATATTTTTTAGACTTTTATTTCTTCTTATTATTGCAATAATTTCTATCTTCCTATTACCCTACATAAAACACCATCAGGTTTGATATTAGCAAGAGTCACAGTATAGTTAATTTTGTGTGTTTTTTAAAATTATAATAGGACATCTTTTTGTTTACAGCTCTCATGAAAACATTGAGTTATTTCTGTTGGGTTTATAGTAAAAATTAACTAACACAGAAAACAGAATGGAGAAAATGTAGCATTGATAGCCACTGTACCACCCTAGGATTTAGAAATTAAATAGTGTTCCATTGTGTTCCAAAGACAACATTTGTTAATAAACAACTGTGCAAGCTCTTCATATTTTTGTTTCTGGAAAAATAAGCCCCAATTGTTGACAGCATTTATTCTCTGATCAAACTGTTTACCAAGAAAACATGCATTAAGAGAAGACAAAAATGAATATATTCATTACTGAAAGACTGCAACCACATGTGAGAAAAGGCTTTATCGGGGCACAATCAATTAATGGCTTTGATAATAATCAAACCTATTCATTCAATTATGCATTCCAGAGAAAAACACTCTCCACAACCTTCTAAGAAGTACAAGCCTCCTGACCAGGGCTTTCATCTTTTATAAAAATGAGGAATTCCTTAAAGATAAATTGGTCAGATAATTAAATTTGATTAGTTACTGGTTCTTAAGCAGAGACATTAAAAGACATTAGTAAGGAATTTAGCAATTTTTCAAATACAAAAAAACCCAAAAAACAAAAACACCCTATGCTAGAAAACTTTTAAGAAGCACTTCTTTTGGAGTTTTCCTTTGTTCAGTTTAAAAGCCCAGTTTAGGAACAACAACAACGACAGCGATTTTAGGGGACACTATAGTGTAGCATTGGCAGCTTTTACAGTACATAATCAAAATGGCTTATAAACTTTTTGAAACAAAAGGAAAATTAACTCATAGGGTGTTTTGGTACCTAGACCAATACTTAATATTCTTATTGTGCTAAAATGCAACAAGCCAAAACTAAAGCATCTGCTGAAGTGGAGACGGGATTGTTTGCTGATTTGAGCAATGGAACAAATAGAGCTTTGTCCTCCTTGGTGTCAGTGCAATCCAGGAGAATTTCAATAGGAAGTATAAAAGGAAGAAGCAGTATGGCAATTCAGTTAAAGGGAGCAAAATCCTTAGTCAAATCATATAGAAAACACAGTTTAAAAAAAAAATATCTGTGAAAACAAAAGAAAAATGGCAAACCCTTTCCCCAGGTTTCACTATCAGGACAGTGATGCAATTATGATATTCATTGTTGCTAGCAAAGGCAGCCCAGATGCATTGAGCTGTTAATCGGTTAAGAATAAATATACACACAAAATCTCAAAAATAAATATCATTTGGCACCATTTTTTAAATAAGCTCAAAGTAATTACTACTTACAATGTGAAGACTTTGTTCCACTCAGGATTGAGATTTTTGTAGACAGTATGTGTTAGAAGCCTATCATTGTTCAGTTCTACTACACAAAATGGGTCACTTTTACCTACAAGAGATTTGGGGAGAACATTTTTAGTATAAATAGCACCCACAGCTCAGAGTGTCACAATCATGACTACATCTCTTTTAAACATTTTTATAGAACACAAAAAGTGAGGTACAATTTTTTAAAAAATTAAAACAACATCAAAATAGAGTTAGCTATAACTGGATGATGTTAACCATTGTGACTCAATGAAATTTAGAACCAGAAAATAAAAAAGCAAAAGAAAGCAAATTATATAACTAATAGTATTTCAATTTATAATTTTTTACAAAAATAATAATATAATGGCTAATTATGATGCATGCCCACCGCCATGTCAGTTTTTATTTAATTCTATAGTGACCACTTGAAAGGTTCAGGCCCTCTCTTTTTATCCATATATTTTTCAACTTATCTGACTAACTTGTAACTTGTAACAGACTTTTTAAACAAGTTGATTTTGGGAAAACTGTTATATTTCAGAATTATAACTTTTTAATCTAATTTAAGATTCTCTTCTAAAATATCTAAGGCATCACAAGAAGGTAAATTAGACCCCTCTGAGGCAGAAAAAAAAATTGGTTATTTAAAACTTAAACTTAACAACCAATCCACATTGTAAAGAGCAGTATTTTTATTTCTTTTGTCCACTGGAGTAAAGGATTTGCAAGTTATCTGTTTACAGCAAATCTGTATTTCCATACTCAAATATCGTCCACTCAGCAATTATATTATGTGATGTCCTCAATATTTTGTAATGTCACGAGCTGTATTATAAGAACTCATAAAGTCAGAGGCTCTATGGGGGCAGCATTAATGATATTACTGCAGCATGTAATTTGTTTGATACCTTATACAAATGACAATGAAATCAATATTTGGACAAAGCTGTTCAGAGGTCATATTTTTTAAACTACAATATTGATTTAGACTACATAAGAGGTTAATGTGAATATTATTAACTTTAATGATAAAGAATAATTGTTTTAAATGAATTGTGAATTGTAGTCACAGTAGTTTACACTTCTGCGAAAGCTTAAATATCAGTGAAGATTTTCAATTAAATTTTAATAGGAAAGAATTCATTAGCTATCAGTGACAGATAAGCTATGTATTCCCACATAGCAAGGTATTTACTTTCCATGTTATAATTCTTAAAATGAGCCATACAAACTTTGACTCACCTTTAATTTAATTTTACATTAAAAAAGAGATTTAGTATATGTGTGTTAGTTCAGTGGCCTCACATACCCCAGGATAATTGCATAATTTAACATTATAGTAGTCTTCTCAATTTTTGGTCTTGCAAATAATTTTCAATAAAGACTAGATGACTGAAAGTCTTCAAGGTCTGGTGTGAATTTTACATGTGGTTTAGAATGTTATCTCTCCCCCCACCCCCCTACCCCCTTCATTCCTTTTGCCCTACCTGCAACCATAGTCACACACCATGGAAAATTGTATTAAAAAAAGAATATTTTATTCATTAAAACACATTGTAATAAGTTTTATTTGGCACATGAGCAACTTTATTTTCTCCCATATACTTCATGTACAAGCATAAAAATTCCATTCAAACAGTTCTCAAAGCCTTACTTATTCTTAAGGGTCATATGAGGTATCGTCTTTCCACCTAGCTTTGTGAGTACTGACTATAGTATAAACAAAAGAGCAGAAAATATAAACTACAACCTCAAATAGTTTATAAAAGTGTTGGAAGGTTAAAACATATCTACTATAACAATGAGAGAGAAAATTAAAGCCATGTTTATGATAGAATTCCTTGTCAAAAGAGAAACTACTTCACTTTAGACAAGACTTTAATTAATTAGCTTTGGAAGCATATACTTAAAAGACAAGTGTAACTCATACTCTTTCTTGGATCTCCTTTGATTTTTTCTCATACATTAATGTTAATCTTAATTCAGTAAAAAAAGTTATATAAAGATAGCAATTTGGGGTATTTTTGTTCCCCTATTTTCACTTGTTTTACTTCAATTACTCTTCTGGTTCATTTCACTTGGTATTACTTGCCCTCAAGTGATAAACAATATGCAATAGATTCAATCAAAACTGTACCACCTCTCCAGTAGCAAAACACAAGACTAACTCCACAGACCAATATCTATGGAGAAAAATGTACTTTAAACATATACAAGTAGAGTTTGAAAATCTTCATTTGATTTTTTCCACAGGAATTATATTCAGTTGTGTACAGAGTTTTCAATTCTTTTAATTTGCCCCATGAAATTCTTGTAAATCACTACCTTCTTTGTTACTGTATCTTTATTTGGTGACAAAAAGAGATCTGGAGTTAGTGATTGGCTAAAAGATCTTAAAGAAACTAAATCTGTTCTTAATGTTTAACACTTCCCACATCTTGTTAAGAAACAAATATATTTATCAAACCCTGTGCCCACAAGGCAGTGACTATTCACATTTTCTTAGTTAACTATTTCTCAAAGCAATTCCTTGGGAAAACCATTATTAGTCAGCTATCATCACATTACTTAATTCTCTCAGTCACGCTTTTCTATTGGAACAAAGGTGTTAAAGTAAGAGGAGCCCAAAATAAGTTGAGCACCCATTGATGCCACTTCTCAGTCATTTTGCTATTCTAATTTCCAGTGGCATGCTATCATTATCAAAAATATTGTCCTATCTGCACTTATCTTATAACTTGAAATGGGTAAGCAATATAATTACGAGGCCATGTCATTCGACACTCTGTGGAATATAATGGTACTTACATCTTTTTTTAAAAAATATATTTTATTGATTTTTTACAGAGAAGAAGGGAGAGGGATAGAAAGCTAGACACATCGATGAGAGAGAAACATCGATCAGCTGCCTCCTGCACATTCCCTACTGGGGATGTGCCCGCAACCAAGGTACATGCCCTTGGCCGGAATCAAGCCTGGGACCCTTGAGTCCGCAGACCAATGCTCTATCCACTGAGCCAAACTGGTTAGGGCAGTACTTACATCTTTTTAAGAGAGTCTTTGCCTAAGATAGACCAAATTCCTATTTAAGATGGCTTTAATTTACACTGATTTTTCTCAATCTAAAATCCATTACTCCTAAGGTGCTTACAGTTTTATGAAAGACTGAACTCTGGTCATTGACATGAACAATCCTGGAAAGTTCTGACATTTTACTCTTCTCTGAAACTTTATTTTCAAGACCTTTGATGTCTTTCCAGAGCTTACAGGTTAAAATCCACATTGTATGGCATGAGAGATAGCCTTTCAGTCTTACTTCCAATCTCAAGATCTTTACAGCCCCTCACTTGAGCTACACCACACCTTTCAAATTCTCAAACACTCCATGTACTTCCAAGAGCACTGGGCAAGAAACTGAAGTTCAAAGTGGGAGGCCTGGGGGGAAAGGCCAAATTTCGGATGCTGAACAAACTGGGATTGAACACTAACTCCATGATTCTGGGCCTTTCCCTTATGTAAAAAGTAGTGACAATAATGGCTCTTTGCAGAGATAATAGTTAGAATATAACTAGTAGAATGTCTGGCACATTATCAGGGCATCAATAAATAAGAGCTTTAAGTAATGTCTTTTGAAGCAGAAATATTTAAAACATAAAAATGTGCCTTAAAGTACAAAAAAAATAAGGAATAATTCATATTTTGAATTAAATCTCCTACTCAAAAGAGTAAACATTTGTAAAATATTTTACAAAAAAAATAGCAAAATAAAGAGCAGTTGCAATGCTTATTATTATAATAATTGCAAACATTTACTGGGTTTTATATTATTATAAGCCCAATATTATGTGTTATGTTCATTTGCTTAAAGATTTTATGACTACTCCATGGGAAAGGAACTTTTACTATCCCCATTTCACACATGAGGAAACTGAGGCTGGGAGATTATGTAGCTCACCAGGTCATAGGTTATAAGTAGTGGAGCTGTTTTTTAAACCCGGGTCTATCTGACCCGCAAAGCCCTTGCTCTACCCCTATGGTCCCTGTTTCCTACAATGAAATATATTTAAATGCAAGTCACTAGGTAAGACGTTTCCAAATAGCTATGTCATAACTTAGTAGTTAGTAGGCCACACACAGGAAGAACTGGCTAACATTTTTATCATAGACTAGAGGCCCAGTGCATGAAAATTCATGCACTGGAGGGGGGGCATCCCTCAGCCTGGCCTGCCCCCTCTCACAGTCCGGGAGCCCTCAGGGGTGGGAGGCGACCCGGCAATCAGGGGAAGGTGACGCCCCATCACATCTCTGCTGCTGCCACTGCCGACAGCACAAGCCTTGGCCGGCCCTGGTTACCTGAGCCTCAGGCAGCCCTGGGCAGCTAAGGCTCCATCGGAGCCACCATCGGAGGCTTGCCTGTGCCTTGGGCCCACCCTGGGTGGCTGGGCAGCTGACATCTGAGGCGTGCCTGCGCCTCGGGCCGGCCGTGGGCAGCTGGGGGGCTGAGGGAAGATCTGGCTGAACCATGTGCCTGCTGCCCCCTGGCAGGCTGAAAGGACTGGGGGAACTCAGGCAGGAATGAGAGGATGGGGCACCGCCATCTTATGGCTATGGGCACCACCATCTTTGTGATGGTGTGATGGTCAATTTGCATATTCCCTCTTTATTCGATAGGATTCATTTATTCAACAAACACTTATTACTTATCATGTATCAGGCAGTATTCTATGTGTTGAGGAGATATAAGTGCATAAAACAATTAAAAAAAAAACAACCATGGATACACGAAATTTACCTTCGGAAAGAAGATAGATAATGAATAATATTTTAGAGTGTATTATAAGGTGGTAAATACTATAGAGAAAAATAAAAATGGAAAGGATGATGAGAAGTGCTGGTATGTAAGTGCAGTTTTTAAAGTGGCTGCCAAAGAAGGTCTCATTGACAAAGTGACATGGGCAAAGGAATGAAGGAGGTGGGAAGTGAGCCTTGGGTTACCTAGAGGAACAGGTCATGGAAAGTCAGAGAAGTGACTGTGTCTGATGTTTCTAGGAATATCCAGGAAGCCAGTGTGACTGAGGA